CTCGTTGTGCATCTCGTTTTGTTTGAAAGGAGGAAGAGTCGCAAAACCTGAGTCGAGCTGGGATGTCTGACCATACACAGTATCTAAATATTATAAATATATATATATAAATATCTATAAAACACTTCTGCTGCGAGGAGGAGCGTTGCAAAGGCCTGACTGCGGGAAAGGCTTGGGAAATCAGCCGATGATCAGAGGTCTGGCATCCCGGGGCCGCTCTCGGGTGGCCTCTGATTTTTTTTTTTAACAGTGTTAAATTAGCTGGTGATAACAGTGTTTTTGGTTTTGGTTTGTTTTTGTTTTTTGGTTTTTTTTTTTTCATTTGTTTGGTTGTGTTTTTTGTTTTGGGACATTGGAGGCTTTTCTTGGTGAGGGGGAGATGGGTGATGCCCGTTCCCGTCCCCTCTCCCACGGGTGCCGGGGCAGGCTGGGGAGGGGGGAGCTGCTGTTTCGCCTCTGCTGCGGGACTAAAAAACCCTGTGGTGTCTTGTCTGGGGCTGAACAGATGTCTGAGGCCTCGGACAAGCGCATATTTGCATTTTGCAAAATGCATTTTCATTTGGGGCTCTGGGTAGGGGGGACGGTGTCCTTTTTTTCTCGTTGAGTTTCCTGCTGCTGCTACACGGCCTGTGCGCACCCTTTCCCCCGCCGCAGCCCCTCACCAGCCCCTTCCCTGTGCAAAGGCATCCGTTTTGGGGGCATTTTGGTGCCTTTGCTCTCCCCCAAGGTGCAGGCACCAGCCTCTGAACTGCATGGCCCCACCAACCCACCCCAGCTCTGCGAGCGCTGGGGCGCTGAGCAAAGCCACCCTGCTCAGAGCTGCTCATTTCAGTGCATCCTTTTCCACGGGAGGCATTTGCATTAAAGGTGATCTCTATAAATAAGCCAACACGCGCATTGTTTGTCTCATGTTTGGGTTTTGTTTGGCGATGGGAGAGCTCGGCAGGAAGGAGAGCGAGAGGCGGGCGCTTTGCAAGCTGTCTGCCCTGTCCCACCGCTAGCCCAGGAGAGGGGCCCTGCCCAAAGCTTCTCCAACACAAGCAAGCGGCCACCAAGGTATCTTGCATTTGATTTGCTGGGCGGGCTTATTTTATTTTATTTTTGCATGCAAGAGGCTTCTGCGCTGAGTGTGAGATGGGCAGGTTGTGCTGAAAGCAGACACGGCCTCACGCGTGACTGCAGAGCAAAAGCTCCTCAGCAGGCGTTTGGTTCAGACCGGAGTCAAGCGCCAGGCTGGGAGGTCCCTCGTTGACTCGAGGCATCTCTGCGCAGCCTGCCCAGCCCCACTCCTCTCCCATCTCCTGCCCTCCGAGGTGGAAAGAACAACACAAGGACCGGGGCTCAGACCTCTCCTAACCGTGATGGGAAAAGATCTTGTGCTTGGGTGGGCAGCTTGGCTTTCAGCTTTAAAGGTGTCCGGAGAAGTCAGAGGGGTTGAAATGAGAAAGACGAAGGGGCAGGTGTGGCTTACCAGATTGCTTTGCAGGTTGTGCTTTTGACGAGTGGGTGCCTCTTTGGAAGGTCGAAGGAAGTGTGAAGCGAGTGATGGTGATGGCTGCCTTTGCCAGCCCATCCTCTGGTGGGGGCAAGGAGGAGGAAGGCAGTTTTTTAGCCAGGGGAAGCACTTGAGGTTGGATTGCCGTCAGCCAAGCTGCCAGAAAACCCCCAGAAGCATCCCGGTGGATGGTCTCCACACACATCGGGGTGCACAGCTTGATTTTCAGGTTAATTTAACCCGAAATAAAACTCCCACTCTTTTAGGAGATGCCATCAGATCCAGACCTTGCCTTCTGGTTGGTAAACACCACGTCAAACCCAAAAGCAGGGCCTCAGGAGCCTCTACGTGCACCATGTCCCTGAATCAGAGGCTCATCTAGTTTGCCAGCCTGGAAATTCTGAGTGGAACACCGCTAGCTCAGGCACTGTTGAGATTTTCAGGTACTTTCCTTGTCCCTGATGGCGAGAAAACTTCCCCAGTGATAAAGGGAGCTTAATCCCAATCAAAATCCCAAAGGGAAGAGCAAAGGAGAACATAAACCTGAGCATGGTGGGAAGGGGTGAGTCCCCCAGGGGCAAAACTAGAGGAAAAGTAAGTGGCACGTGAGGGTGTCCACGGTCTCTGTGGATGATGAGCCCTTGTAGGACGTGGGGGCAGGAGGTGGATTGTCTGCAGGGGGGAGCTGCGGGGTGAAAACCCATCAGAGACCCACAGCTGGGTGCTCACCAGGAGCCCCCCCATCCATTTGAGACTTGTCAGGGGAACAAAACAGCCCTCGGCAAAGAGGAGGCTGAAAAAGGGGGAAAAGCTGGAGAGGAGAACGGGCAACAAGGTTAAAAGGTCCAGTCAGGCTCATGGGTGGCTTCGCGCCGCGCTACGGCGAGCAAAAGCTCTCGGGCAGATTGTTCCGAAAGGGCTCGGTCCCACTCGTGCTTAAGGGAAATCAGTGAAGGGTTTCACTGAAATTTTTATTTTAACTTCCAATGTCATTACAAAGTGAAAACCAAACATGCTTTTGAGTGAGTGGTTGACGGGAGAGCGGTAATGTAAGATGCATACGTCCATTATATATATATGCTTACATCATGTGTATATATAATGTGTGTGCGTGGGGGTATTTAATCTAGGCATAAGTAAGTCATGCTTTTGTTTTTCATTCCTAACTAATATAACTTGACTAAAAAAAAAGTTGCTGCAGTGGGTTTGCAGAATAAAGCACTTTGAATCTCAGAATTGTTTTGTTTGTTTTTTTTTTTTTTTTTGCTATAATATTATTTTATACACAAATTTTTTTTTTTTGGTCTGTCTTTATAAACTATTATAAGTACTATTTTTGTTATAATTCAAAATAGATATTTAGTATAAAGTTTTGCTGTTAAATATTTGTTATTTAGTAAAATATGATTTTTTTTCCTCTATTGTAAACATTGTCTGGAAAAAATATTAATATGTTTTATCACAGTTGTTTTTAATATTAAAAAAAAAAAAGAAAAAAGCACTCGTGGGGTTTTTCGTTATGAAATTGGTGCCGTGTGAACATGTGTTTCAGTCATGTGGTTTTTAATATGTATATAATATTAAGTGTCGCATATTAAAATGAATGTTGTGTATTTTGTGATCTTAAAAAAAAAAAAAATTCCATGTGGCTATTTTATAGACTTCCATAATAAAAAGAGTTGAATCTCCAATTTTTTTTGTTTGTTTGTTTGTTTGTTTCATATCCATCTGCATCTCCTCTCAAAGGGCTTGTGGCCGCCTGGTATGGGGCGTCGGGGTAACACCCCCATCCTGGGAACTGGGGCACCCTGTAGGTGGGATTTTTGCACCCACCAGATGGTGGGTAAGGCCAGATGAGGCCTTATAGGCTGGCACGGGTTGAAAACTTCTACTTAAAAATAAAAAAAGCTTTTTTTTTTTTTTTGATAGGATGGCCAAACGATGAACTAAGTCGCCTGGAGATGTTGAGTCTCCATCCCTGGAGATACTTGGAGCCTGACTGGACATGGCCCTGAGCAACCTGACCAAGGTGCCCCTGCTCTGACATCCATCCTGAGGGTTTGGCGAGCTCCAGGATACCCAGTTTCTGCCCAAAGCTCCCCAGCAAGAGACAGAGGCTGGACAAAACAGGCAGGAGGGAAGGGAAAGGTGCTTATCTCCAGCTGCACGTGTGCCTCCTTGGCTCTTTCAGGAGCTCACACCATACCGAGGTGGCACAGGAGCCCACCCCAGGTTACATACACCCGACTACTAATCACCTTGACAGGCCAGATGGGGGGTGGGATGCGCGTGGTGGCCCAAATGAGGCAGGACACCCTTCCCAAGGGTAGTCCAGGTGGGGCGAACCCTGTGATGGGCAGCAGCAGTGCGGCAGGTCAGGTGGGAGCGGACAGGTTGTCCCCAGCCCCTCCCATCATCTTCCATTTGAACTACTGAGAGGTTGGCTGCTCCCGTAATCAGCTCCTCAGCAAACCTGTGTCCCAGAGGCTTCTTTGAGAAGCTTTGAGCTTTTTAGATGAAAAAAAAGTTTGAGGAACTTTTGGCCCTGGGTGGTGGGATGAAGAGCTTTAATTGAGATGGGACGGGACGAGCTGCTGGTGGGAGTTTCAGCTGCACCCGTTCCAGAGTAGAGATGGGAGTGCTTAGGGTAATTAAGTAATTATTTAAGTAATTAGCTTCTGTCTCCTTGCTCTTCTCCCCATAAAAAACAAGTTCTGATAGCGGCCTGGCTGTGGTGGGAGCATTAGAGCGCAGGATGTTGCTGCTCTGCGAGCTCTTCCTATGACCACATTCAAAGGCAAGTGAGGGCTGGAGGAATTAATACAGCTATTTGTAGTTGGCTGGAAAATATGACCATGCAACCCAAGCCTGTGTCCCTTCGGTGCAGCCAGAGGATCTGAGGTTCCTTTCCCTCCCTTCAGCGCTTTGTGGCCGCTCTCTTTTCCTAGTTGCTGTTCTGGATGTGTCCTGCCAACAGCGGTCTTGCCATGTCTGTGCCGGCTGTCGCCAAAAAACCGTTGTGCGGTTGCGCTCGTCTGCGGGCCTGTCCCCTTCCCGGCCTCTCCTTGAGCTGAAGGGGCTGATGTGTCACCTCCTCGCCCCTTTCTTTCCCTTCCAACCCGCGATGCATTTATAATACCCGTCTGCCACCTATTTAATAGCAGGGAAGGTCATTTCCTTTTGGCCTTTTCTCTTTGGGATTTCTTTTTCTTCTCCTCCTGCTCCCCTCCTTTTGCATCTATTTATTTATTTATTTTCAACTTACGGCTTTTAGCGAGAAGCTGTACTACCCCTGGAGGGAGATGATGTAGCTCGCTCGGCTCCAACAGAAGCAGGGAGCTTTTTTTCGGGTGGTCTCGTGGGAGCCGCCGGACGGCAGCGCAGGTCAGTCGGACTCCATGTACTTTCCATTCGACTCCGGCACCGAGT